ATGGTAAGTTGGACTACAATGATTAGTGGGTTTGCTAAATCCCTTAAAAAAAAAAAAAAAAAAGAGTTAGGGTTCGACCTAGACTGTTTTGCCTTGACAATGGATGGTCGAGAGAAAAAGAAGAGAAGGGAAAGTGCTATATCATGGAGAGGGAAAATGGTGGGAGTGTGGAGAAGCTCTAATGGTGCGATGGGGCGGAGGTGGGAGGTGGGAGGCAGATGTAAAGTGAGAAGGAGGAAAGAGAAGAAAGAGGAGAAGAGAACGCGGGGGGTCGATCGATTCGGTCGGAACAAATAAATTATTTAATTATTTAAAAAGATTTCCGATCAATTTGGTTGGTAAAAAGATTTCCGACCAATTCGGCCGGGCTTTGGAGCTCAGAGCTTGATTAGACCATTTCGGTCAGAATATTTTTAAAAAAAAATTATTTTAATTTCCGACCAATTCAGTCGAAAATCTAAATCTAGTCAAACTCTAAAATTTTGACTTTTATTAACCGACAGAATCGGTCGAAAATTTAATTCCATCAATTTTGCGCCAAAATTAGCGACCAAAATAATCGGTGCACGGTCGAAATAAATTGAGAAAAAATTAAATAAATTTTTTTTGGCTATTTCCGGCTGAAACAAATTTCCTAACTTCTTTTTTCAGCCGAAATTTTAGCATTTTCTAGTAGTGTGCCTACTGCCTAGCACGACTCATCAAGCCAATTTGTGTATATGCTCAGATTTTATTTCCCACCGCTATTATTGTACAATAGTTCAAGCTTAGAAATTTTAATTCTCATTATCCCTGCTTCCATTCTCCTTCCCTAATCCTCCAATTTAATAGAAAATTTAAGAAAATAACCAATTTTGTCCTAATTAATAGAGGCAATCCTAATAACTATTGATACCACTTATGATTTTCTGCAAGCCGCATGAATTCAACTGATCTCCACCTTTTTCCTCTAAATCATAATAAAATCACAAAATAGTTATAATTATAATCCAAAATAATCAATTTAAAATACTAACAATAAAAGGCTATCTACATAACTATAGATACCAACAATCTCATCTGTTTTTCAGGCTCCATGCTTTCAATTTCTCTCCAACTATTCTTCTTCAAATCATAAAAGAAAATCCAATTTGGCTTGAGCTTGGAGTTGATCAATACAATCTCACCATTAGTAGTACTTCTACAAAAGCAAATCCCAACATACGACGTCGTAGAAGAAACTGTAATGGGAAAGGCACTTGTACGCTTTGCCCATTCTTCACTACTTTCATACCTCTCTAAAATCCACAAATCCGTCTCTTTCATATTCATTATTCAATAATCAATGGCTGCTAATTTTTCCTCCAGTCTTATCAAGTTAAAAGACCTATTTCCTAGAATATATTGTAGATATTTCCACAACGAGATAATTCTAAAATTTTCGGTTCTGACATTTAATGCCACTGCGCATACTATATTCTCGTAAACACCCAAGTGTTAGCTTCAAGGTTTCACGTATTAATTTTGATGATAACAAACCAATACAATTATTAATCAAAGAATATTTATTTGTGGTAATCTTATTTTTTGTATATGTTTATTCAAGAAAGAAAATGCTGGTAAAATCCAAACAAATATGAGAAAAGAGATATCATGTGAAGAATGTATCAAGGAATATTATTTTCAAAGATTTGATCTCCAAGCGCCACAGAAAGAATAACATTTGAAAGTGAAATTTCAAATATTGAATGTCTTACTACAATATCAGAAGAAGAATCTACGGAAATTATGGATGGGAAGTTTTTCAACATCTTGAAAGGAAAGCTGTTAAAATTATGGAGAAGATCTATTATTTTGTGAAAGGAATATACTAAATGGAAAAGATACTACAAGGACAAGGAAGAATATATTTTCTATGGAAAGAAAATATATTATGGATGTAGTACAATCTATATTATTGAAAGAAATATTTTCAATATAATGGGAGAAGAATATATTTTTATGGAAAGAAAATATATTATGGGTGTAGTATATTCTATATTATGGAAAGAGATTATTTTTCAAGATCAAAAAAGGAGTCAAAGATTTATTGAGATCTATCAGAAAGGAAATATTTTATTAAGAAAGATATTTTTACCAGGACAAGTACTACAAGGAATTGGCCAAGTCTTGTATTTAAGGAATGTTGCACAAAGTAGCTTATTATTCAAAATATACTACGAGATAAGATGTAAAGTACTATTCTTATGGAAAGAAGCATGAGTTACTGGAATCAATCAAGAATTACTACAATCATGGAAAGGTAAATCATGAAGATTTTGATTGAATCATCATGACTATTCTCAAGTAGATATTTATAAAGATTATATATTGCAGAGAATTATTAATTATGGATCTATTCAAGGAAAGAATTGATATTGGCATCATGATTGGAAATTCAAATTGTCCAATTCCAAAGGAAAGTTTGCATTAACAGAAGATATCCAAATCTGCCTTATAGATTGTGATCATGTTCAAAAGGGAAAGAAGCAGTAAAGGAAAGTTGGAGAAGTAGCAAAGGAAATCCTTTTCCAAAATTAGAAGACCGCTGCAAGGGCTAGAATATTCAATGACCAAGTATAAAAGAGAAGATACTTGCAACAGCAAACTTACGCAGCCTTCTATACAAATTGTCTATCCAACTTTAAGTTCTTTATTCTACTCTTAACAAATACTGTAATTCACTTTAGTAGATTTAATGTGTACACAAAAGAGAGAAGAGAGACAGAAAAATATTGGAGAGGCAGTGTGTCCTAGAGGTTGTGTCATTGTTCATTTTTTTGGTGAGCGAGTGAAAATCAAAGAGTCGTTGTCGGTGAGCAAGTGAAAACCAACCATGTCACCGTTAGTGCTGATTGCTGAAAATCAAAAAGGTTGTACTCAATTCAATTTACAAAGAGATCTAAAAGATAACACTCTTGCAACCCAAGAGTACTGGATTAGGATACCACATTGGTTCTGAACCAGTATAAAATTCCTGGTGTCATTTACTTTATTGCTCTCGTATTATATTCTGTTCCTTTACTGTTTATTGTGATTGACACTTGTTTTAATCGAAAGAACTAACAGTTCTGTGCAGACTATCTCTACATAAGTCGACTAGACCTGAAGAGTAGTCGACTAGAAATTTAAAAAGGCTACAATTCACCCCTCTCCCCTCTTGTACTTTCAATTGGTATCAGAGCATGTCTCACATTTTTATTTTTGCTTAACAGTAAGTGAGAAAAGATTATGTCAGCACACACAGTTATCGGAGCCTTACTCCAAGAGGGGACTTCTGCATTAAGACCGCTATACTTCAACGGACAGTATTACACTCACTGGAAAGTTCGAATGGAAGCTTTCATCAAATCTTATGATGTCAAAGTATGGCGAGTCACCAAGAAGGGTGACTTTCCTCTCCTACAGTCCAAAGCAGAAAACAATCTAGAAGGACACCATCTACTGAAACCCTTGATATTGATGATTATACTGATGAGCATATGGCAATCGTGCAGATAAATTCAAAGGCAAAAAATCTATTATACAATGCTATAAGTGGAGAAGGATTTGAGAAAATATCAAGTTGTGACACAGCCAAAGAAATGTGGGATAAACTTAAAGTTACCTATGAAGGTACCGATAAAGTAAAAGAGACAAGGATAAACTGTCTGATTCGCGATTATGAGTTGTTTCAAATTAAGGAAGATGAATCCATTGAAGACATGTTTGACCGATTTAGCAAAATAGTTGGATATCTAAAATCCTTTGGAAGACCATATTCAAGTGGTGAACAAATCAGAAAGATTCTAAAAAGTTTACCCACTTTATGACAACCAAACGTTGTTGCTCTTGCATACGGAGATCTCGACAAACTATAATATGATGAACTTCGTGGAGACCTTATAGCCGTTGAGCAAACCCATCTCAAAAAGCATGAACATAAAGATAAGAAAAAGAGTGTTGCTTCTAAATCAACTATTGCTGAGTCTGAAAGAGAAGCCGAAGAAGAAGGAGACATACATCAAGATGATATTGCATTATTTTCTAGAGTTGTCTCTAACATGACGCGAAGAAGCAAGAAAAATGGAAGAGTCAAATCAAGTTCTAGAAAAGGTAATGAAATAAGTGAGCGGAAAAATAATGATAGAAATGCTACAAATGCGGAAATTATGGTCACATCCAAGCCAACTGTCTAGAACTAAAAAGCAAACTATCCAAGGGCAATCGAAAGAAAATATCTTCTAGCATATAGAGTGATGAATATATGCTGTGAGCACATGATTTTTGCCCTATATGAATTGCTCCGATAAAATCAAAGAAAATAAACTTTTTCCAATTATTTTTCATTTTATAGGATTTTGTAGGCTTTTTATTTAAATTATTTGCATTTTGTGCACGTTTAAGTTTTATTTAAATCATGAAAAAATACCATAATATCATGCATTGCATTTAGGATTTGTTTTTACATTTTTTTAGAATTAATCAGTAATTATTTGCTTTATAAAAATTTAAAAATCACAACAATAGCTCATTTTTACTTTTTTGTCTTTTAATTTTAGTTTATTGATTTTCCTCTTTTAATTTAGAATTTAGTAATGTTTATAATTTTTATAACTAGCTAATTAGTTTAATTTCACACATTTGGATAATTTAGGATTTTTAATTTGTAGGATTTTAATTAAAAGAAAATGAAAAATTAGAAAATAAAAGAAAGAATTGGAAAAAAAAAAGTTTGTCTTGTGAAATTGGGCCAATTCTCACCCAGCCCAGATCTGATCCAAAACTTCCCTTTGACCCAAACCACCCATGAACCGACCCACCTACCCAATCGGACCCCCCCTCCACATTAAAATGACCTAGCGGCTCCTAGACTTAAAGAGGGAGAGATCAAATGTTTTTTCCAAAAAAAAGAAGAGACAGCAGCGGCGCACATAGAGTAAAAAGGAAAATGAGAGCTCTTCTCTAATCAGACCCCTGTAAAAAAAACAACACCCTTTAGCTCCATTATTCTTCTTTTTGATTTCCCAAAAATCACGCAAAAAAAGAACCCAACAGTTCTTTAATAATGAGAACCCAGTAGCTCTCAAATTTCTCCATTTTTTACTGTCTGTTGAAAAGAGTTGTATGGTTATAAGGATAGTAGCCATTTTTAGCTTCATCCTAAGAGAAATAGAAACAGCCACCTATCTCTAACCTCACTCAAAAATAAAAAAAAATTCAAAAAAAAAAGAAGTCGATCAAAAATATATATATAATCAGAAGCACGCTTGAAGATTTTGAAAAGGTAGATTCGAAACTAAAAAAAAGGTTTAGCTGGGTTGGAAACACTCTGTTTTTGCTGCTGCTTCGGAACCCCATCAATGGTATTGTGGCATGTGTTTGGTCCATGCCCGTTGATTCTCTGCGATTAGGTATGTAAACCTTTGCCTAAGATACTCCATTGATTATGAATGAAAATCTGAGTTGTTTTGGCTATGTCTATGCTTAAGTGTTTGAATCGATTGCAGCTATTTTCATGTTAAGCTTAAGCTCTGATTTTTTTTATGTTGAGATTGTGCTGAAATTATGTGATTTGCATTTAATTAGATCTTATGCAAATTTAGATTCAACCTCATCATGAGTTTAATCTGAGAAGCAAGAGATGAATGTTGAAAGATTAATTTGAATGTTGGTATGTAATTCACTAATAATTTCCGTTTGTTGTTCTGGACACGGATTCAATGGCAAAGAGTATAAGGATGAAGAAGCTCTTCTATTTTTATTTTTACTTTGTTTTTTTTATGTTGTTGTAAATTTTGCTAAAATTAGGAATTCTTATAAGAACATTAGATAATAAATTTAACAGAATGTCTTTACCTTGACTGCTTTGTTTCGGATAATGTGACTGAACATTTTTCTTGTCAATCCATCTCATAACCATGGTGACCGAACTTACGAGAAGCTCAAATCGCCAACTTAGACAATTAATCAATTTATAAACATCGTAGCTTGCTATAGGCGAGATCAATAATAGTAATTTATTGTGGCCATGGGTACGGTTCCTGTAGCATTGTTACAATACGTGAATCTCAATTCGTGGTGCATTTCATGTAATCCGATTATAACAACTTCGAATAATAAAACCATTTGAAATAATTTGAGGTGTGTCATGCCAAATAAAACCCATAAGCCCATGGCCCTCACAAAACTAGTTAGCTTTTATAAAAAATTTGAGGTGTGCCATTTTCATGAAATAACCCATGGCCCTCACGTAATTAATACTAACTCTTTAAATATTGGGTTGTGCTATCAATTGAATTTTCCATGGCCCTCACAAAACTAGTTAGCTTTTATAAAAAATTTGAGGTGTGCCATTTTCATGAAATAACCCATGGCCCTCACGTAATTAATACTAACTCTTTAAATATTGGGTTGTGCTATCAATTGAATTTTCCATGGCCCTCACAAACTTTGTTAAGTGCGTAGTTGCTTTAGGCGTGCAATTTAAATTAATTTCCTTAAACTCGGGTGTGCATTTCATATGACCCAACTCCAATTCTCAGCAACGTTAAAATAAAATGTGTCGTGGACCGCGGGTGCATTTCATGGGGCGTGGTTCAATGCATGTTTTAAATAACGTTGAATCTTCCTAAAATTAACTAAAAGCGGCTAATAAGTTAAAATGTACCATAGGTTAAAACACGTAATAAAATTAGATAATATGCCAATTATAATAGTTTAAAGCGACCATGCTAGAACCAAAGAATCCGGGAGTGCCTAACACCTTCCCTCGGGTTATTAGAATTCCTTATTCAAAATTTCTGGTTCGCAGACTTCAAAAGGAAAGTCGATTTTTTCTCGATTTGGGATTTAAAATAAACCGGTGACTTGGGATACCATAAGTTATTTCAAGTGGCGACTCTGAAAAATAAATAAATAATTCCTTTTCGATTTATGTCGTTTTAATTGAAAAAACTCCCTTATATCACCTCTCGGGTGGTAAAAAGTAGGTGTGACAGCTCTGGCGACTCTGCTGGGGATCCGAACCCAGAACTCCAGTTCAGGGTTCAAGAATTAGAGCTTAGGATAGCTGTTATGATTGACTTTATTTATTATCTGATTTTTGTACATGTTTGAGTCTAATATGCTAAATGCCGCTTTTACCGTTTTGATATTCTGTGAACTGTATATAAACTGCTATAAAACCCTTCTTCTCTCTGAGTCTTCTAAATCATCTGGGGAGTGTGTACTTTGTGTGACTTCTCTTCGAGTCTTATCCAATTTTAGAACGAGGTTCGGACAAGTTGCAAAGCCGGTGAAGCTTCAGTATTCCCGGTACGCTACCCCTCTTCGGCCCCAGTTGTCCGCTTGGGTACCCAAGTCTAGACCAAAACCCCAGGATTTAAACCCAGAAAAACAGAGCTTCATGCCGGATTCCTAGTAGGAACATTTGTTTGCATCATGTGCATTTGACTTAGGGGACTCAACACAGGGGTTGGGTCCGTCTAGGACAGGTGTGCCCAAAATAACAGACCATCCTAATGCATTCTATGTGCTATGTGAACATTTATTTGTTTTGCCTTGCATGCTGACTGGCTAAGAAAAGAAAAACAACAGAAAAAAACCAAAAGTGAGGTAGGATAGAGAATTCACATGGTTCTGAAAATCCTGTATTTGAAAATGCCTCGAAACTCTGCAAATTGTTTGAAAAAAAAAAGAAAAGGAAAATGTATTTCAATACCATGTTTTTCCAATTATGTCAAAACAGGCGAACTACGCGGCCGTATTTGGAAAGCCGGATTTTTTATGAAAATTTTAAAAAAATAGTGATAACCTTTTCTTGAGTCAAAATAGGGTCTGATTCTCACCGGAGGTGAGATACGTAGGCAAACCTCATAGGTTCCGGCCCCCAATTTTCAAAAATCCAAAAAATAAATTTTACTTCCTTCTTTAGAAAAGTTTTTCTTTGAGACCCCAACTTTTAAAAATACAAAAAATATTTTCTTTTAGTTGCTTCTCAAAATCAAAAAATACAAAAATATTTTCATTCTTCTTTCGAAAATTGAAAAGAAAATTCAAGATTCAAAAATACTTTCTCTTTCTTTAGAAGTACTTCTTTCCTAACTTCAGAATAAAAATCCATGAATGAAAAATATTTTTCTTTCTTCTTTAGAAGTTTTTCTATCGAAATTCCAAAAAAAAAAACAATAAAAGTCGAAATTCAAAAAAAAAAAATTCTTCTTTGAAGTCTTTCTTTGTAAAAATGCCGAAGAAAGGTCAAAATCCAAAAAATATTTTCTATCTTCTTTATATGTCTTTCTTTCGAAAAGTTCAAAATCCCAAAAAAAAGTTGGTTTATTTACTTTATTCTTGATCTTCCCGAACTACGCAAGATCTGATTCATGTTTCCACATGATACGTAGGCAACCCACATCAGGTTCATTCACCATTAAAAAGAAATGAAAAAAAAAACGAAAAAATGAAAAAAAGTTGATAATAATAAGGATTGACTGAGTCCATTCTAACATGTTTTGTTTTGAATTGTGAAGAAAGTTGAGGTGGTCGGTTTGTGGTAAGCTGGAAACACAAGATCCAAGGAAAAATGATAATTGACATCGAAGCTGTTACAAGTGCTCAAGAGACTCAGGGTTAGAGGGTTCAACAAGAGTCTACTGTGTTTTAGAAAAATAGAATACGGAAACAACAAATGACCGAAATGTGTCAAATGTAGACTGTCACACCTCCTTTTTCTGNTGTCATATTCGGCTTGTTTATCTGATTTTATACAATTATGAGCTCATGTGCAAGTTTTAACTCTTTACCGCTTTTATTATTATATTTTAAAAGAATGTGAACGTTGTTTAAAAACATGTCTTTGGATTGCGTCACATGAAATGCACCCATAATCCGGAACACATTTTTATTCAGCGTTTTGGGATTTGGATTTGGGTTGCATGAAATGCACACCCGAATTTAAGAAGGTGGGATTATTAAACACGCGCCTAAAGAGCCTATCGCGTTCTTATTTCTGGGGACGACCGCGAAGTTTGTTGAACGGCTCCTCCCGAAGTCTAATAATTAAATGTACATTTATTGAGGGCCCCGCAGTTTGTACCTTTTACTTTGGCGAGGCTCGTCTCATTTATTTTAAAAGGATAATCCTAAAGCGACTACGTTTTCTGTTTTGTTTGTCTCTAGAATAAAAGAAAAATACCTAATTTATTTACATGCTTGAGAGTTATTATTGAAAAAATTTCGAACCTAAATAATTAACATCGAAGATAGACGGGAACATGGGGGCCAGCACAGTTTTGGGCCCAGGCCCAGCATACCGGGCGCGGAACTGGACCTGGGCCATTTTGTCTTTTTTCGTCCGGCCTGCTACTTACTTTTACCCTTTTGGTTTTCACGATAAGGCGGAAATGGAATCAACAACTACAAAGCTCCTTTTTTGACTCTAAATAAACATGCTAACTAAAACAGTTCAAACTGCTGATTAATTAACCTAAAGTCTTTATATGTATTTGAAACATGCTTTGTAAAGAAAGAAACTGAATTAACAGAATGCTATCCTTATATTATTGGTTCTTGTAGAATAGCATGCAAGGCTTTCTATCTGCTATTACTGCTTCGTACTCAATTGTACATGGCAAAGCTACTACATGCTTCTAACAAATGAAAACTAACTACCCTTTTACACAACTTAAAATTTCAGAATTTACAAGGCTAAACGTTAAAATTTCAGTTCTTCATCTCACATTCATGCTTCAAATTTTCAGACTTACAACAGCCATGATAAAGTTGTGTACCTGGTAGAGGAACAGAAACGGAGTAGAAAAGAAGTCAGCAGCAGTAGCAGTAGCACAACAACATATTCATCAACACAACAACACAGCCACAAACACCCAGTGACAGATTTTTAAAACCAAACAGAAACCCAGGACGTTCAATGAAACAGCAACAGGTCACTCAAGTGCAGGCCAACAAAACCAGTTTGGAAAAACAACCAGCAATATCAAATAATGAACAGACCAGTGAAGCTGTAACAATGCTGTATTCAACAACAAAGCAAAGACCTCTCTTTTCAGTTTCTATCTCTCAATCTACTGAAAATAACTGTAAGAAAAGCAGCCTAGAACAACAGATCTCTAACTCTGGACATTTTCGATTCAAAATCCAGCCTATCTCACACTCAATATACTCTGACTTTCAAGATTTAAAAGCCAGCACTGTTTTTGCCTTTTCTTACTCTGAAATCTTAATCTCCAAATCCTCCTCCTCTCAAAATTAGTCCCCTTTTATTGCTCTAAATGAGCCTGTTTATAGGCCAGAAATGGCAAGCCCCCAGGCTGCCTTCCCACTCTGCCCATACCCCCCTTAAACTAATCAAAATGTCCATCCTCCTGACAGCCCTCTCATGTGTTTTTGTACCCAGAAGGTATAGGGAGGCTACAATATTCAATTACCCCATGCTATCAAGTTTTGTTCCCCACTATTGTATTACTTTTAATCATATTTCAGTACCCTACTGTCAGTCCTTTTAAACTAACCAATTTGTGAATTTTTTAATCCCCAAACTACCTCTTTAACCCCTGTGTATTACTGTTTTACCCTAAGCTTCAGCAAACTGAAATTTGAACTTATGGAAGTTCCAACTCAACAACTGCCCTAGACTGAGTTCTAGCTATTTCTCTAATTGCACTGCAGCTACAAACCATTCACAGATAATTTCAAACAATCAGCTAAACTACAATGGTTCGATCAATCATGTGAGGCTATCAGAACATTCAAACCTATAAAATTAATCGACGACGTTTATCAAATCGACTATACTAGCTATAACACAGAACAATCGGTCGATAAACAAATAAAACGAATAGGGCACCAAATGACTTCAAGCAACTTTACACAAAACAGAGGAACAACATAAATGAAACACTCGACGATATTAATCAAACGAGTATGTATCTCACCATACGTATTTAACAATAGACAGAAGAATAGTCGACCAAATAAAAAGGTAATATCAGTAAAATCAACAAACTAACTAAACATGCTAACAAACACAAACCGCATTCAAACAAGGCCAGAAAGGAAAAAGAAAACTTACTTTGGAAGCTCAACAACAAACGACCCAGGCTTTGACTGGATTTGACCATTTGAGGTCGAACGGACTTTAATCGAGGTTTTCTCAACCGAGAACACCTCGATTAAGGTCTATTAGACCCCAACCCTCCGTTTAAACTGGACGGATTCCCAAAGCTTTTGTGTTCTAGGGTCTGATTTGGGGCTTGAGGGTTTCTGGATAGATTCGGACCAAACCAAACTTGGTTTGGTCACGAGTGAGGCCAGGGTAGTGATCGATGTGAATCTGGGGTGGGTTGGTGTAGATCGGGGTTTTGCTCGAACCTTCCAACGAGGATTCGAGACGGTGGGGAATGATTCGAGGCAAGACACTAACGGATTCATGTTCAGGGTGGTTGGAAGCATCAGGGGTGGTATTTTGGTGGTCACCGGCATCGTGGTTGCCGGGTTTACGGTGAGAGTGCAGGGTGGCGGCTAGGGTTTGGAACGGGATGTTTGGTTCGTCTCTGGGACGATGGTGCACAGTAGGTGGGGGGGTTTGGTTTGGGGGCGTGGGTAAAGGGGTGAGGCTTATATACGGTTTAGAAGAATCGATCCTGGCCGTTGGATAGAACGTGATCGATGGCCAGGATCCCTTAGCTAGCGTAAAACGGTGCCGTTCCACTTAAAAGGAGGTCAGGTTGGTCCGGGGCCAAATGGGTCGGGCATCTGGGGGTGGTTTGAGGCCGTTGGATGGGATTGGGTTAACGGTTGAGATCAGACAGCCCTATACGGCGTCGTTTGGGGTAAGTGAGTGGTCTGATCTGGGTCGTTCATTTGAATCAATCAATGGTTCGGAATGGGGACACCAATACGGCGTCGTTTCATCGCCTGTGAGACCAGGTTGATTTGGACCTNGCTGACTTGGGCTGGTTTTCTTAGTGCTTTTGGGCCTGATTTGTTTGGGTCCAATCCGAATTTTCCATTTTTCCTACTTCCTTTCTTCTTTTAATCTTCCTAAAAAATTAAAATTATAAATTAAATTAACTTATCACAAATACTAACTAATTCCTAGCAACATTTATCATACATAATTAAACACCAATTAAAACAAAATTGCACAATTTGACATTGAATGCTAAAAATGCAAACGATGATATTTTTTTGTAACTTTCATTCTTGTAAAACAAACTTAATTACTCCTAATTGTAGAATAAAATTCTAAATGCCAATATGACATATTTTTGTATTTTTATTAATTTAACAAATAAACATGCATGGACAGATGCAAATAATTATCCTAAAAATGCCACGAAAATTCTCAAAATTGCACACAAAGAAAAATCATTTTATTTTGAATTTTTTGGGAGTGATTCTTTCATAGGGCAAAAATCATGTGCTTACATAGACATGTGATTTTTTACCCTCCCCGAGATTTTTTATATATTAGCGTAAAATATTTAATTTAGGCATAATATAGATATTTTAAGTAATTTTGACTCTTTTACTTTAATTTTATTACAAGAAAATAAAAAATCACAAAAATAGGTTCATTAATATTTTGTAGTCATTTTTAATCTAAAAATATATATACAACAATAGTATCGTATTTTTATTTTAATATGATATTTGAAAATACCAAAAATAGATTTATTTTAATGGTTAGTTTTATTTTAATAATTATTTGAATAGTAGTAATAATTAATAAATGAGCCCGTATTTTTAATCTCGTTCGCAGCGAAAGAATAGAACTTGGGCTCGAATAACCCATTTTTAAGCCTAATTTTGGACCTAGCCCACAATTGTCAAACCCATAATTCTTAGACCCATACCCCTTAACCTAAAACCCTACCAAAAAACCTACAATATAAAAAAAAGAGAAANAAACGAACCCACCCCCCTGAACTGGTCTCCGTCGAGACACCCATCACCTTCTTCACTGGAAAAAACTCAAAAACCCAACCAAGAAAATCAGCCGCTGAACACAGAGACAACCCCAGCGTTGCTTCTTCTTTAGGCACCCGAAACAACCATGTGAGAAGCTTAATGCTACCAACCAGCAACCCAACGTCGTCACCACCACACCCCTGACCCCCTCTCTTCAATCCGATACAGCCTTTCATATTCTCAACAGAAACCAAACGGAGCTCCCATCTCTCACAATAACTGGTAGCGACGAATCCACTCAAAGAAAAGACGGACAGAAGCGACTGATATCGAAGATTCTGCCATTCGAAAATCTCGGTCGCGATCTGTTTCCAAAAGCTGCTGAGGTCGAAAATTTGCTGCTGTTAATTGTTGAACTCGCTATTGAGTTCAGTCCGATCTGGTTTCAATCATCACCGAATAGTCGAGTTTATTTCGTTGAGGTTCCTGGTCAGGTCTGTCCGTGTTTAGCTTCATAGGCCTGGGTTTCTTTGTAAATGGGCAACATGTTCTTACAAATTCGAAGGTAATTTACACCCTTTTGCATGGATATTCTTGTTTGTTTTAAACGTGTATGTGTTCTCTGTTTTGGTTGATTTGCATGCCAAGTCACATTGTTTACCTAGAGCCGCCGTGTTGTTCGATGAAATTCCTGTAAAGAACAGTGCTGTGAATTGCTTGACAATGCAAAACCATTTGTAAGGACTTCCTTTTTCCCGAGCTTACACAAAATGACAAATAAAAATGTAAAACAGTACCAAGGGAAAGGACATCACCATTCATTTCCATGTCGATGTTCATTTATCAGCCAATGCATCATTTGAATAGAATCATGTTCTGGAAATTGAATTTGAAGGTAAAGCTTGTTAAAGAGTGTGTCAGCAGTGAGTGAGGGAAAGAGATAGGTGCTAGAATTGGATTCGAGTTCGATTGGGGTGAGATTTATTGAGGCGTTCGAGTCCGAGTTTTCGGTTCTAATTCGAGTCCCGTCCACGGCTCGTCACATTTTTGAGTTCAAAATAATGAACCGGCTATATTGAGGTTCACCTCTTTCACCCTCTATTCGTTTTATGCAAGTTTGGTATTAATTATTTGTTTAATGACATGATCCCGTTGATTCTGTAATTGATCTCTGTGGTTTTGAATTTGCTCGCTCGATTATCTGCTCGTGTTTACTTGAATTGGTTATAGTTGAACGTGATTTTGTCACAGTATAGAAATTAGATTGCTGAACTATGTCAATTAGATTAAATGGGATCGGGTGTGCATTTCATGTGACCCGGTTCTAATTTACAACAAGGTTAAATAGAGCGTGTCATGAACCATGGGTGCATTTCATGTGGTGTGGCTTGCGATATGTTTTAAATGACCTTGAATTAATTCTTTAAATAAGTAAAAGCGGTTAAAAGTTAAAATTTGCACATAGGTTTATAATCGTTAAAAAATTAGATAATTAAGCCGAATATGATAGTTGAGCGACCGTGCTAGAACCACGGAATTCGGGAATGCCTAACACCTTCTCTAGGATTAACAGAATTCCTTACTCGGATTTCTGGTTCGCGGACTATTAAACAGAGTCAAGTTTTCCTCGATTCAGGATTCAATCGGTGACTTGGGACACCATAAATTATCCCAAGTGGCGACTCTGAATTTTAATAAAATGATCCTGTTTCGATCGTCCTTTAATTGGGAAAACTCCTTTATACCCTCTAGAACAATAAACCTCAGGATTTAAACCTAGTATAACAATACCTCATGCCTGATCCCAATAGGAACGTTTGTTTGCATCATGTGCATTTTGACTTTGGAGACTCAACACAGGGGTTGGGTCTGTCTAAGACAGGTGCACCCGAAATAAAAAAGACCATCTTGATGTATCTTACTTGCTACTTGTGCATTTATTTGCTTTGGACTTGCGTGCTGACCGGATTATAAATATATTGGGAAAAGTCGAGGAAAGAGAAATAGCAGTATGAGGGGTAAAAAGGGGTAATCGCCTGTTCTAAAAAAACCAATGTCCAAATAGTGTCGAAACTCTGCCGAATTTTCGAGAAAATGAAAAGGGAAAGAAAAGGAAAGAAAAAAAAGAAAAGAGAAGGCTTTTGTTTTCAAGATAGCCTGTTTTATTTTAATGAAAGAAAAAATGTTTTGTTTTCAGAAATGGCTTTATTTATAAAATAAAATAAAAAGACGCTTGTTTTCAAAATAGTTCGTCTTATTTACCCGAATTAC